CTACTGAAACGATTTCAATGGAACTTGATGTATAGATTCCTAACCACCTAAAAGTGATGTCTAGCCCGTGTGAATTTTCGCGATTTCGTCCGCGTTCTCGATTTATACGGTAATACGGGCAAAAGCACGCATCGTACATGGAATATCTTCCTAACTAGTGAACCGATTTCGATGAAACTTGGTATATAGATTCCTACCCACCTAAAGGTGATGTCTAGCCAGCACAAATAAGACCACAGCGAGAATCTTCGCAGGTTAGGTCCAAGTCAGGTCTAGTTCAACTACTTTCAGAGCACAATAAACGGACCTTTCCTGACCTACCTAACCTTGAGGTCAGTCGCTTCCCCCCCGTGGGGCACCCAAGGAGATCAAAGTCTCCTTGGCCGAGAGGGAAGGACCAGTAGTTTGGAAGATATTCCGTGTACGATGCGTATTTTTGCCCGTATTACCGTATAAATCGAGAACGCGGGCGAAAATTCACACGGGCTAGACATCACCTTAAGGGATATTACTTTAGATTAAGTGCATCCAAAAAGAGTGTTTTTTTAATTGTTTTTTTGGGTGTAGCTAAAGAATCTGAAATCCGTTTTTGGCGGTCGGCATAGGAAAACCGATTTTTATATATGCCGATTTTTATATATTTTCTAAGATAAAATGCAAGTTAAATCTTGGCCCCAATATCCGTGGATTTATAGCGTTTTTAACTTGGCCTCGGTGACCCATATACTCTTGCAACCACGACATTGCAACCACGGTTAGGTTAGGTTTTTTCGCCGATTTTTGCCCGATTTTTCTGACGAATTAGAGCCTCGGGGAGAAAAATCGGTTTTCCGATGCCGACCGCCAAAAACGGATTTCAGATTCTTTATCTACACCCCAAAAAACATATAATTAAAAAAAATAACACCCCCTTCTTCTGGATGCACTTAATCTAAAGTATTACCCCTTAAGGTGGTCAGGAATCTATATATCAAGTTTCACCGAAATCGGTTCAGTAGGTTGGAAGATATTCCATGTACGATGCGCATTTTTGCCCGTATTACCGTATAAATCGAGAACAATGGGCGAAATCGCGAAAATTCACACGGCTAGACATCACCTTTAGGTGGTCAGGAATCTATATACCAAGTTTCATTGAAATCGGTTCAGTAATTTGGAAGATATTCCATGTACGATGACTTTCTTGAGGCACGGCCGTGAGACAGGCCGCGTTTTTGTCCGAGAGGTTTCCTTCACTGTATTATAAGCTTTTGTGAGATCAGTATACATGGAGCACACGCTCGACACTACTTCTGGCAGATCGGCATTTGTCAATACTTATTCCTTTAATAAGACCACGATTGATAATTCCCCTCAGGGGGGACTTCTGACGCGTGTCTGTGCTCGTCAGAAGTCCTATGGGATTTCGCGTTCCTAGGGGGATTGTTCCTGAGCGCCCCACCGCTGAGCTCGCGGTGTCTGACTGCAGGTCTCAGTTGCGGGGTTAAATGTAGGTAGGATTCCTTACATTTCCCTTCTCTGTCTCTCTCGTGCGGGCGGCCGACGACCCGTGTAAGCGACCTCTTGTTCGAGTGTCTTCGTTTCTGTTGCTTTTCACCTGTCCCTCCTTGTCACTTCGTCTCTTAGAGATGCTAACGCTGCTTCTTCCGAGCCAGCTTTAGCGGGCTGGACATCTGAGACTTTCCGCCCCTTGCGGGTGATGAATAATTGAGACCTTCCACCTCTATGGTGATGTTCATCTTGACTTTCGGCGCTAGTAAACGCTAGTAAACATTTGGCCACTAAACTAACGATTAATAATTATAAACATTTCTCAGTAATTAAATATTGAGAATTAGGAAACCTTGATTTTAAACCGCCTGTCTATACTTCACAGCCACATCCAGCCCTGGAAGTTGCTACAAACGACCTCTTTGCGATCAGGTGGGTTTCGACTGAGGCCATTTGTCGTAGATTTAATTTCCTATATGATAAATTTCTATTTTATCTAAGCATTAATCGGTTGTGATATGTTTCTGCTGAGCTTTTAAAAAATAAGATTTTAGACTCGAGGGAACACTCCGACACTTTGGGATGAGCAAATAACACATTTTCCACGCGTTAAAAAAAAGTTTGTTAAATTGAAACCAATCTTGACCTAAGTAAACATAGGCTATTAATTGACATTACGATCATTCAAGTATCGTCAGAATATTTGTTCTGCCTCGTTTTCACGTAGTGCGCTGCGGTCGCAGAGGCGCTATGTTAATAAATAGCTTTGTTGTCAACAAAATCAAGATCGGTTTAGATTTAAAAACTTAAAGCCTGTAATACGTGCTATACCTAGCAATCAGCGCGCTAAATAAAAACGAAGCGAAGTAAAAAATTCTTGTAATGCTCACATGAGCGTAATGTCAATTAACAGTTTCGTTTCCAAATACCTAAGCCAAGCCCGGTTTTGGCTTAAAAAAACATAAAAATGCTATGAAAATTATGAACACGAAAATGAAAAATTAAGTACGTATGAAAATACTATTGTGTATGAAAATTCGTCCCTAATGTGTTATTATTATTATTATTATTCCACGAAGAGATTGTCGTGGCGTCTCGTTCGGATCGAACTTCGAGGGCACGTTACAAGTGGCTAAAAAAGACACAAGAGCGGTAGAGAGAATTGCTTAAAATGACTAGTTGTTGTAATTTTTTTAGAATAAGTTTAATAACTTCTTACTTTCAACGAGAAATGAGGAGTAATTATATCTTTCCAATTTGAAAACAATTTATTTTGAGTTACTTGATTCATTTGTCTTGGAAAATTGTTTTCGTTATTTTAAAAAAGTGCTAGTTTCTTACCATCAAATTGTTACAGAGATCTAAACAAATTAACGTCCAACACGTTTAATCGGTTCGTCTCTATTGTCTTAGACTAGATGAAATTTTCGACTAAACTGAATTACTAACGTTTGAGATTATGTAACACATAAGAAAATAAAATAAGTATTGCTCTCAAACACTTCACAAGACAGCGACGACTGACGGTGATTGCTTTCAAAATTGAAAAAATTTTACTGTGAAGACGTCACCATTCAGAAAAAATAATAAATGCACTAAGCTGCAAAGAAGCGTAGCAAACACGCAAATTGAGATATGATCAAAAATGGCCATACAAATATTTGATTTCTCGCTGTAAGATTACTAGTTTTAGTAGGTATTATCGAACCTGCTGTTATTTGATAGACATAATATACAGGGAAAACAGGGTTACTCTAAACGATAGACCCAATTTAATAAATTCGCTATTTTTTCAAAGTATAAATTCAAAATGGATAATTTATATCCTAAAGGGAAGAAAAAAAATTAAAAGTTTTTTTTTTACATAATCATAAATTTTTAATGTCTCCCTTGATGTCTGAAACTTTTTGAATCAGTCACTTCCTGAGCGTTGGGTACGACGCATAGGAAATGAAGATCTGGCTCTACACTTCTGGCCACCGAGATCACCTGATCTCACCCCATGTGACTATTTCTTATGGGGTTACGTCAAGAAAGCTTTTTACGTTCCGCCTCTACCAGCAACTCTGTTTACGTCTCGCCTCTACCAGCAACTCTGTTTACGTCCCGCCTCTACCAGCAACTCTGTTTACGTCCCGCCTCTACCAGCAACTCTGTTTACGTCTCGCCTCTACCAGCAACTATGTTTACGTCCCGCCTCTACCAGCAACTCTGTTTACGTCCCGCCTCTACCAGCAACTCTGTTTACGTCCTGCCTCTACCAGCAACTCTGTTTACGTCCCGCCTCTACTAGCAACTCTGGTTGATCTAAAGAACCATATCACTGCTACGGTGCACTCAGTAACAGAAGATATTCTTTCTCGTGTGTGGGACGAGTTTGGCTGCCTTTAAGATGTTGGCCGTGCAGCACAAGAGGGACATATTAAAAAGTTAAAAATATGTAAAAAAAACATGAATCTTTCTCATTCTATTGTTGTATAAATGATTCATTTTGAATTTATTCTTAAATAAATAGGAATTCATCAAATTGTGTACATCATTTAGAATAACCCTGTACATTGTTACGCTAATTGAATTGAGCATGAGACAGCAAACAAATTTGAAATTATACACATATGTACATTATAAAAATAAGTGATTTCTACTCACTGCCGTTTTCTACAGCGAAAATCAAGTGTCAGCACTAGCAATAGAACCGGATCTGTTTAGGAGTCGACTAACCTAGAAGTAACTAAATAGGACCAAAGAATACCTCATAATGATAAGTATATCACAAAGATCAACATCATAAGAATGGCAAAGGTCACTTCAGAATTTTGCCAACTAACATGCGCTTTAAGCGCACGTTAGTTAGGATCTGCACCATGTCAGTATAAATAATAAATTTGAACATAATGTACTACCGTCTGCAAATGACACATGGTGTTCGTTTTCAAATCCGCTTGCTTTTTCCAACTATTAAATTCCATTAATTTTAATGCATTATTTTAAGTAAATTTCTATGTTTTAAATCCACTTGTACCTTTAAGCACGTGTTGAGTAGCTTTTTCATTGACACGACAGTTAAACCTTCGGGTTTTTGCAGCATTTGCAAGGGTATATATATAGCCTTGATCAGCGGTCGACGAAGGTGCAGTCTCGACTGGTCGCATAATGTTAATTTAAAGCCTTTGTCCTTTATAACCGAGGGAATCGGGTTAGACTGCAAAATGTAACTTTTGTAATTTGTTCAGGTATTTAACATTGATAAAATTTGAGAAGCAACGTATATAAAAAAATTTGACTGCGAGTTATCATAAAACCTGGGGCCGTATTATCAAAACTTCGTAAGTACGCAAAATCGACTTACGAGTGGCGTTGCTATGACAACGTAATACTAGCAGTGGTATTATATAAACATTTGCGCGGGAAAAATTTGCGCGGGAAAAAAATTAGGCTTTTAGCTAAGACTTGCGTACGAAAGTTTTGATAATGCCAAAATTAGGGTGTATTTACGTACCACAGAATTTTTTTGTCGTAAGTACAAAAAGTTACGAAGTTTTGATAATCCGGCCCCAGGTCAGGTGACACAAAAGCTGCGGTGGACGTAATTGCACTTTCAAGACGGTAAATGCGATATTTTATATTTGGAATATAAATTGGGGCAAGATTTTCATTTATTTGCAGGCCTACCCTCGTTTGAATGCAGTTAATGAAGACAGAAGTCACGTAACTCAACATCGCTACTAAGCCCAGCACGGAGCACAAGGGTTATGGTGAGACCAATGATATCTGGAATTGTTGTCAGTAAATAAAATGAAACATAACTTCCACCGAACCTGAATTATCACTACAGTGCAATATTAAGCGGGTTGTTGGGTATTGTGATGGTTAGAGTTTGTGGTGCTGGTGGGTCCGAAATTTGTAATTTTCCATGAAGTGAAAACCGTACGTGATATCACGGCAAATCAAATTATCAAATTGATAAAACAGGAGCACGGACGTTACTCAATAATACGGCATTTTTTCTGTACATAAATAATAAAAATATAACAGGCAGCTCGCTTCTCATTCTAGCGTATTTAAAATAAAGACTAGATGATCTTAGAGGCTAACTAGGTAGGTACATTAAGAGGCATCTATGCTCAGTCCTCAAGATGCTCTTCACAGTAGATGGCAAGCAGACGCTCTTTCGCCGGTTCGAAGGTCGACTGAAGAGCTAAAGTCGACTCGTAGAATGTTGCAGCTTTCTGGTATTCGCCCTGCACATAAAAAATATTGAAATTGTAACCAGGAAAAGAATACTCTTGGAATTTAAATTTTTCTAGCTGCTTCCAGGAGGTAAATACCAGCAAAGCTTGTTCCTTCGGCGAATCTTTCTCAGCAACAAAATTCCTTATAAACGAGCCTAGCTACGTTCCAAGGTAAACGTAAGTGAACTAGAGTTTCAAGTTTGGAATTAGTTGAAACTCAAGCTCTTACACGAGGAAACAGTAAGAATATTCACCAGAGATCTCTGAAAAAGAGAAATAATAATGGGTTGACGACTGAATTATTTTAAAATTGACCAGGTTAATGTAAATCAAAAATTAAAAGATGTTCTTTAAATTGAGCTTATGAGAACTATCCCTGGACTTCTAAGCTTCAGAAGGAATTGCTGTTGAAAATTTCCGTCAAAGTAGCTTGTAACGCGTTGGTGCTGTAAGTCAATTCTAGGTATACTGAACACTCTTTTTGAATTGTTGAATGAACCTAAAATTTTCGAATAAACATCGTCTTTTGGATGCGGTTCCTAGTTTAGGAGAAACGAACAAACCGTAGCTCTTGCAGTAACTTAAACTGCAGCCACACAATGTTACAATTCTTACACACAGGTTCAAAAAGACACAAGTATTACTTACTCGTCGCCCACTAGTTTGGTTACTAACCATGACATCAAATGCCACAAGTGACGAACATACCGCCCACTAGTGACTGACCATGACGCCAAATGTCACAAGTGACGTACACACCGTCCACTAGTGACTGACCATGACGTCAAATGTCACAAGTGACGTACACACCGTCCACTAGTCAGGCAACTGACCATGACGCCTAATTTCACAAGTGACGTACATACCGCCCACTAGTCAGGCAACTGACCATGACGCCTAATGTCACTAGTGACGTACACACCGCCCACTAGTCAGGCAACTGACCGTGACACTAAATGTCACAAGTAACGTACACACCGCCCACTAGTGACTGACCATGACACCAAATGTCACAAGTAACGTGCACACCGTCAACTAGTCAGGCAACTGACCATGATGCCTAATGTCACTAGTGACGTACATACCGTCCACTACTTAGTCAACTGACCATGACGCCTAATGTCACAAGTGGCGTATGGCGACATACCGCCCACTGGTGACTGACCATGACGCCTAATGTCACTAGTGACGTACATACCGTCCACTACTTAGTCAACTGACCATGACGCCTAATGTCACAAGTGACGTACATACCGTCCACTACTTAGTCAACTGACCATGACGCCTAATGTCACAAGTGACGTACACACCGCCCACTAGCCAGGTAACTAACCATAGCAGCAAGGATGTTGGCGAGTGTGAAGTCCTTATGTACATGCCGTTCATACAGCTCGCCCACTAGTTACAGACATACATACTACACTAACTGACCATAGCAGCAAGGATGTTGGCGAGGGTGAAGTCCTTATGTACATGCCGTTCATACAGCTCGCCCACTAGTTAGTGACATACAACATACATACTACACTAACTGACCATAGCAGCAAGAATGTTGGCGAGGGTGAAGTGTATCACCACAAACTTGGGCGAGATCTCGAGCGCCGCGTTGGCGACGATCAGAGCGTTGTTGTACAAGCCAGACCTGCAACACAAAGTCCTCGCTCAGTGGATAAATTCAAATACTTTATGTGAATGAACGAAAAGCTTGGTGTAAACACTCAGCAGGTTTTAAAAAAAGTTTCGTCTATTTTTAAATTTACACATTTAAAATTGAGCTTCAATCGAGAGTTTTCACGTCTTATACAGAGTCAAACAAAGGGACGTTGTGTATGCTAGAAATATTTTTGCAATAAACTTTGGTTGAACACAAAAGAATGAAAAAGATGGAACGTAACAAAGCTTAGAATTAAAAATTTATTTCGATACATACAAGCGTCAAAGTATTGAAATGCGTCCAATAAAATATTCAGCAAAGAGATTGAGTAACTATTGTTACGATGGCAGGTGATGGCAGTAAGGCAGGTGATGGCAGTAAGGCAGGTGATGGCAGTAAGGCAGGTGATGGCAGTAAGGCAGGTGATGGCAGTAAGGCAGCTGACCTATGCAAGACGTTAGCGAGGGAAGTGAGGGGAACATCCCTCATGTGACGAGGGGCGTAGAGCAGCGCTGCTCTGAGGCAGTCGATGGCGTTGCCAGCGTTGCCCTCGACGCGCCAGTAGAGGGCGGCGCCTGTCAACACAACCCAGCCTCCTGGCGACGACGGTGAGTGCTGCAACATGATCATCCTTTATTATCTTATAACATAGCAACTTTATAACAAATTAACTCTCATACTACGGATTATAGCAATGTTATAACAAATAAACTCTCATACTACGGATTATAGCAACATTATAACAAATAACCTCTCATACTACGGATCGGCCAAACCTTAGGTACTTGAATTTAATTAAACTAGCACTGGCTGTGAGATCCAGCAAAAAATTACGAAGAAACTTCACACGTAACTGTTAACATTTCATTTTACACTCCAACATCGTCGGCTGGGTAGATCAAGGGGCACTCAAATGAAAACGTTTCAAAATTTAGTTTCGAAGAAGTAGGGAAAATTTAATTGAATTACAATGTGAGGTTCATTTCGCCTCAACAATTAGCAGCTAAATGAAGATACGCAGTTTTTATTTAGTTGGATTCTCCTTTGTTTTCGTGTGGATTCTCAGAACTTGAAGAACAAACATTTGGTGGTATTAAATAAACGGCATACAATAGAAAATAGAATCCATGCCAAATGAGCTCAGATTTTCTTTTGGCCAGCGTGTCATAAAACACGAGTTCTTGACTAAAGTAAGGTTTCCTGATCATAGATTAGAATTGAAATATCAAGAGGAAAATGCATAAAATTTATATGCATTTTTGTACAATCCTTGCTTGCATGCGTATAACTTTGAGACAATCTCTGCTACAAGATCTCTTCGCATGATTACTAAGGTATTCCAATTCCCGTAAGTTTAATTATTTTCGCCCGAGTAATAATGGAGAAATATATGTTTAGTATTTTTATGGTAAACTAGCAGGTTAGTTGAGTATTTCTTACGACAGGTAATCGCTGATACTTGGCAATTTTGTTCCCTTTAATAACATTTTCCTTATCCTATTTCTTATCATCTGACAAACAATATTAAAACGTAATATTTAGTTTACTATTTAGATATATGCTATTATATTTTGTTGGGATTAACATAAGATTAAGCAGCACCTCCTGGAGGGCGGCATGGAGTCTATGGCCGAGCTGCTCCATGGTCTGGGGCGGGTCTACGAGCGTGTGCAGCGCCTCGAGCAGACCGGTCTCGGGCACGTGGGGCAGCTGGTGCCGGTACCGCACGCCCGACAGGTGGTCCAGGGACCGCAGCGATGCCGGTGTACTCGGGCACAGGGGGGCCGGCGTCTGGGGGGGCAGCGGGACCGGCGCCTCGGGCAGGAATTTGGAGATGCTGTGTACATAATTGACATTAATGCTGTGCACATAATTGGCATATTAATGCTGTGCACATACATAACATATTTATGCTGTGCACATACATAACATATTAATGCTGTGCACATAATTGGCATTAGTGCTGTGCACATAATTGGCATATTAATGCTGTGCACATACATAACATATTAAAAACGTGACATTAGAAAAATCTCGTAAATGATCAGTAATCGTTGAATACCATCTTCAAGTGATGAATGAAAAAATAATTACTTGATCCGACGTAAATGTCTTTCAAAAGAAACTGAATCCTTTCAACTGGCTGCGAGCTGTGACACAAGAGTGATTGGGTCCGATTTAATTAATAACAATATATATCACTAAATCAAGGAATAAATTTGTGAACGATGAACATCGTTTACTAAGTTATTCAATGTGCATTTTCTTGTGACGAAATTATTCTATTACGTCTGACGAAGCGGCGCCAGTGACATGTGAGTCAGACCTATAGCAGTTACGACGTAGTGCAAGGTCAGGTCTGAGCGGCTGTGCGTCGAGGTAGTTAGTCGTGTCCCGCCAGCCCTACAGTGAGGTTCATACCTGAACCTGCTCAGCTCTGTTAACTCTCAGCACTCTTTGCTTAACGCTGGAGTCGTGGCTGTGCCGTGAGGCTTTAGTGTTCTAACCTTAACTACGTGCATTAATGCTGTGCAATAGTGAATAGAATTGAACGTCTCTTATAATAGTTATAATAGTCGGAATTTATGCTTTCCCTTTACCACATTTTACTGATTTTAAACAAAGTGAATCAATAAACTATATAAAGTGTGCTTTGTCGTGATTCTATTCCATAGCCACTGAACCGGCTTTAACTGACGATGACTAGGAGAGAGGAACGGCATTGTAGGTTAGATGAATGAGCACAGTAGCCTGGAAATTATTCATATATTGTCCTGGCTATGAGCGGTGAGCATTCGATCCTGATAGTGAATTACAGACCTAACGTTCAGATTGGCTTGTAGTAGCTCTGGCCGGTGACACATATTTAGAGCCTCAGAGGTTAGTCTTTGATGTTTAGAATCACTGAACAATCAAGTTCACTTGTGAATATTTCTAACTAAGACTCAACATGAAGCAAACCTGAAGAGATAGCAGAGTAAGAAGAGAATGAAATAAACAAGGAGGTACAGTCTCACTCGACGTATTTAGCGGAGACGGAGAGCCACGTGGACGTGAAGTGTCGGAGTGCGACGGTTTTCTTGTAGCCGTCGCAGAGCGCGCCGTCCGTCCGTCCGTCCGCCCGGACGCGTTCCCTCGCCATACTTCCACCCGCGGGGACCTCGGCTTCAGGAGCTTCCTTGTTACGCAGCAACCAGTCAGCGGTGGGGAGGTCTTCTACCACGACGTGCCCCTCAGCAGGAGGAGAGTCCTGGAGGGGGAGTGGTTGGGTGCTCCTGGACGTGTGTAGGGGCGCCTGCACCTGCGGGAGAAGTGACTGTTGCTTTCAACGCATTCATGCCAGACGAATATTTACAATATAATTCAGTTACAATTTATAATTGAAATTATTTACTGTCACAACTGACCAATTTATTTCTCTACAGTAACTAGCAGCTTGATGCTACAGCACCTACAGTGTTCAGACGTCAAGGAGTTCTATTTGCTAATAATAATGACTATATATTAACGAATATAATAGTATCATACTGATTTGGACGATTAAGTATTCTTGATACTATTCAGGTTTTAGGTACCTACTTAAGCACTTGTTGCGACGGTAATGAGAGGGCTGGCGCTAACATAAAGCAACATTTATGTTAATTGCTGCTAGATATGCAGCTTGACTGAAGCCATCAAAGTTGATAATAATTATAGACTTTATGTGACCTCTTGAAATATGTATGAAGAGAATTTTTTAGACATATTCTTATAATATGCCATAAAAGAAAATTCTTCTATGAGATATCGTAAAATAATCTAATTTGTTTGAGACTCCATAACGTACATCGTAGCGACAAAATTGAGTCTGAACAAGTAAAATAAGGCAAATATCCTCAGCATTATCGCCGACCAAGAAGAAAACTGCTCCCGATTATGGTAAACTTGATCATAACCTCACACTCCACATTATATTCTACATTCAAATGCAGTATATATATTAGATTATGAACTTCCCTAAAGTTAAAAAGGAACCGTTCAACTAACCGCGCTAGGAGCAGCATCGACACGGTCGGCGTCCATCAGCAAGTTAGGCTCCCCGTCTGGTGAAGACCGCAGGGAAAACTTAGCCAAGTACAACTTCCAAGAGATAGATAACTAATAATCACTTATAGTTCCAATAGATAATAATTTGTACTTTAACTATGATGCAAGCATTAGAATGTTGAACAGTGTCGCGAAAGTAGGCCCTACAGCCTACACAGTACCGACCATATAACAGCTTTAAAATGATAATGATCCAAATGATAGTGTCCGTCAAGAAAAAGGCAACCTGTATCTCAGACAACCATGAACAGCAGCAATTCATTGTATTCAACGAAGTTTCTAGGCGGAATTTTCGATCAACTGTAATTTTAGGTAATAATTCAATATTGACGCCGCGACAATGCAGAGAATCGAGAATTTGGCCTTGCTCGTACTTTTCAAAAGTCGAAAGAATAAACCCTTTACATACTGAAGTGACTCAAATATTTAAATATTTTCATTACGGTATAATGGTAGAAACTAAAATAAAAAGTCAACAGAAGAAATGCGCTTCCTTCTTGTCACAAAGTATCCGTAACTGCCAAATAACTACAATCGGCTTAGTATCTATACTGTCTTGCACACAACGTCATTTTTGCTGAAAATTTTGCACAACAAAAAATGACGGTCAGTCATTTTCACCATCAAGGACCGTGAAGCTCACCTCCATTTGTAGAACATTCAAGGCCTTTCTCACAAAAGCCTTTATCGCTGAGCACATCAATGTCCTCTGACTCGTCCATGGAGACTGAAGTAGATGCTGGCTCATCTGAAGAAAACTGCGGTTCATCTGAAGGAGATAGCGGTTCATCTGAAGAAGATAGCGGTTCATCTGAAGGAGATAGCGGTTCATCTGAAGAAGATGGCGGTTCATCTGGAAGAGATAGCGGTTCATCTGGAAGAGGGAGAGCCTGCCCGGCTTGTAAGGGCTCCCTGTGGTGGCAGGTGATGGCCTCAAGATAGGTCCTGGCGAAGGGGTGGTCGGGCGCGAGGGACAGCACCTTCTGGTAGTGGTGCAGCGCCCCCGTCGTGTTTCCCTGCGCGCTCAGCAGGTTACCCAATAGGAACTGCGTCTCGCTCTGCCAGGGGTAAACGTCGAGGTCAATAGAGCGTCGAGGTCAATAGAGCGTCGAGGTCAATAGAGCGTCGAGGTCAATAGAGCGTCGAGGTCAACAGAGCGTCGAGGACAACAGTCGAGGTGAACAGAGCGTCGAGGTCAACAGAGCGTCGAGGTGAACAGAGCGTCGAGGACAACAGAGCGTCGAGGTCAACAGAGCGTCATTCAGGTAATGTATTTTCTAATAAAATTTATATTGTAATTATATCTTTACTAGTTCTCTTTTATTGAGCTTTCAAATCGGAAAATTTCCGTGAACCACTCTGTTCATGTGTAAGCTTTCTCAAAAATACCTCCATTTAATCCTTAGGACAATTATTGGAACCATTTCTGATCAATACGACACGCGCTCTCAAGACGTAACCACAAGCGTGGGAAGCGTCTTACATTGACGTCTTTTAAAATGTCCGAATTTCCTAAAAAAACGCAGAATAACTTGTGATGACAAGACGCGCCACTCACGACGTAATCTGCGACGCTGACGGCACGACGTGCCAGGACGAGAGCGTCGTCGACGTGCCCCACGACGTAGAGGAGCGACGCCAGGTTGCCCAGCGCCACGTCCGTGAAGAGAGCGTCGTACTTGCGCCACGTCTCGTCGTAGTCTTCGCCCGCTGATGACGAGGCAAATTTCTATATGAAATATATTTTATAATATATAATTTATATGAAATGAAATATATTTTTTAAAGAAAGCCTTTTTTATAATAAATAAAGTTTTCAGAAACTTGTTTCGAATTCAAGCAACTTATGTGTTCCTTTTTTGAGAATGAGAAGGGAATTTTGACTTTACCCCTAAAGAAATTTCTTAGTGAGCCTCGTACGGTCAGTAAGGGCATTGTACGGTCAGTAAGGGCATAGTACGGTCAGTAAGGGCATAGTACGGTCAGTAAGAGCATAATACGGTCAGTAAGGGCATAGTACGGTCAGTAAGGGCATAGTATGGTCAGTAAGGGCATAGTACGGTCAGTAAGGGCATTGTACGGTCAGTAAGGGCATAGTACGGTCAGTAAGGGCATAGTACGGTCAGTAAGAGCATAATACGGTCAGTAAGGGCATAGTACGGTCAGTAAGGGCATAGTATGGTCAGTAAGGGCATAGTACGGTCAGTAAGGGCATAGTACGGTCAGTAAGGGCATAGTATGGTCAGTAAGGACATCATACGGTCAGTAAGGACATCATACGGTCAGTAAGGACATCATACGGTCAGTAAGGACATCGTACGGTCAGTAAGGACATCGTACGGTCAGTAAGGACATCATACGGTCAGTAAGGACATCATACAGTCAGTAAGGTCATCATACGGTCAGTAAGGACATCATACGGTCAGTAAGGACATCGTACAGTCATGGTGCAGCTGCTGGTGGGTGCCCAGGACGGTCTCCTCGTCGCCCAGGACGCCCCTGAGGCACTCGACGCCGTTCCAGAGGTTGCCCACTGCCCGCCAGTAAAGCGCCGCCAGGTTCTGTAGCGCCCACTTCGGGCCCGCGCGCTGCACGCACATAATTAATGATCTTAGCAAAGACATTGGCATTCAAAAATTTGTTTAATAGTGTATTATTTCATTCACAATAGACATTAAATAGCCGAATCACGAAAACAATAGGGAGTAATTGGATGCTACAATTATTCCTGATCTTCTGCTCCTCGTACTTAACACTCCAATGCAATCCTCATCATTGAGTGAGCCACGACTCGTAAGGCCAATTAGCAGGCTTCTATCATTAATAATTGGCTGAAATAAGCCATTAGCAGGTAGTAACGGCTGATTTTGGCTCTAACTCTAGGGAATTACTATCAAAAACAGTTACAAGATCATAATTCTGGCAGCCAAAACGGCTATTAAAGTTAAACACACATTTCACAAACCGAGAAATCGGCCGCTATTTGTAATTAAGAGAGAATCGATTGCACGCCCTCCCCAGACTAGACCTTCTGCAGCGCCATAGCGACCCTATGGCCGGCCTCCATTACTATAGCACGCCCCCTGGACTAGACCTTCTGCAGCGATTTTGCCATAGCGACCCTATGTCCGGCCTCCATTACTATAGCACCCCCCCTGGACTAGACCTTCTGCAGCGCCATAGCGACCCTATGGCCGGCCTCCATCAGGTCGCCGCCATGCCCGAAGGAGGCGAGGTAGGCGGCGGCGCGGTCACAGCGGCCCAGCGTCGCGTCGGAGGCACGCAGGCGCTCCAGCATGGGAGGCAGCGGCGACGGCAGGCGCTCGCAGATCGGCAAGTCGCGCGGCCTGGCCAGCGGATCTTGCAGCGTCTCACCGATGTCTTCAGTGAGCAACTTCTTCACGCTGTAAACAATTCAGTAACGGTCATACACATTTAATTTTATACTCTTACGCAATATCAACAGCAGTCATTCTTATTTAATTCTACAGTCTTAATAAATATTCGGTCAGTAACGCTGTAAGATTCAGTAGCGGTCATTCATATTTAATTCAGTACTCTTAAGACAATATTCGGTCAGTAACGCTGTAAGATTCAGTAGCAGTCATTCATATTTAATTCCGTACTCTTAAGACAATACTCGGTAAGTAAAGCTGTAGGATTCATTAGCAGTCATTTATATTTAATTCCTTTCTCTTAAGACAATACTCGGTAAGTAACACTGTAAACGGTTAAGTAGTAGTCATTCCATATCACTTTCGTACTTTTATGACATCATTCAACAATAACACTTTAATATGAGACGTGTGAAATAGTTTGATTGAACATATGAAGAAGAATTTTTGTCCATTGCCTAAGTTAATCCCTTAAATTGGTAAAAAATTTTGAATTCTAGGAAATTCGCAGACTTCAACGTAACTTAATTTTTATGAACGCTAGGTTCTAATTATCTAATTATCTAGGTTGCGAAAAGCAAATATTCCTCCCGTGAGCATTAACACAGCAATTGATCACAACAATTCCTTTGCCTTGTCAATGACACGTACTGGTGTTATTCGGGCCACACAAAATGAATGGAAAAAATTCAGACATAATCGGCACTTGTATAAAAACCTGATTTACGGAAGTGGAGATAATAAAGATGCACTTACTTGAAGTGCAGCCATGACTCGCCCTAACACGTCGTTCCATATCTCACACTGACATGCTTCAACTTGGCAGTGCATATAAGAACTGCTAATATTTGTTACCGTCAACTGGGGTGACTTCGGCCGCGTTTTTGATTTTGTTTTGCAAACAAAAGCGGGGTCATAAACGATGGCCAAAGTCACTCTGGCGTTTATGACCTCGTTTACGACCCTGGCGTTTATGACCCCGGCGTTTACGACCCCGTTTTTGTTTGCAAAACAAAATAAAAAACGCGGCCGAAGTCACCCCGGCGGCCGAAGTCACCCCAATTGACGGTACGCTACTGCGGTCTTACGAGATCATCCTGACGCAACTCACGGACATTTTCACGTAGGTAATTTATCATCAAATACAAAAACGTCCACGCTACCTATACCAAATCAGTTATTACAACAAATATAAGCAAGAAACCTAAGATAACAAGATAAAAATGCGTAAAACGTCATCAGTTATAACTAAAACGCCATCAATTATACCAAAAACGCTATCAATTATAACCAAAACGGCATCAATTATACCGAAAACGCCACCAATTATAACATTAACGCCATCAATTACACCAAAATCGTCATCAATTATACCGAAAACATAATCAATTATACCGAAAACACCATCTATTATACCAAAATCGTCATCAATTATACCCGCCATAACGCCATCAATTATACCGAAAAAGCCATCCATATTCCCATAAGACCCTCATGTCACAAAACAAACGTCCTCCCTCACTTGAAGTCCTTGACTGAGGGCAGGACGATGACAGGAGGGAAGACGTGCCACGAAGGCAGCGCGCTGACGCCCTCACATGCGTCCGCGTCGGCGTCCGGGGCTCCTCCTCCTCCTGCGACGCCGGGGCGACCTACCACCCATCCGCCCCTGTATAATTAATAATAGATAACGACTAATAGATAACAGATAATACATAACGAATAATAGATAACAAATAAAAGATAACGAATAATAGATAACAAATAATAGGTAACTATTAATATATATCAAATAATAGATAAAAAAAATATCTTCAATGAAAAAGTTTAGATTTGGTGAAGATTTACTTCTTGTTTTCTTTCCTTTTAAATTCTCGGGAAACTTGCGCATTAAGCAGACGGACATAAATAACAAATTCTACGCAAAATTAATTATATATTCCTAGTTTTTTCAAAGATATACAAATAGGGGGTAATGAATTTGGCAGTCTACGGTAAATGATTTGCAGGGTACAATGAAATTTAATATAAGGAAAGAATGTTGGTTCAAATAAACGACCCGATGAAAAGAAAATAATTTTCTTACTTGATAGCCAACAAGCTCTCTTGAATGCTTCTAACATGAATAAACGACAAATAACTAAGATTCCAGATCGAATTACAATGGTAGTTTGACTTCCATGAACCACGGTCACCTCCTCTCAGAAAAAGAGCGAGACTTTGCTTAAATAGCAATAAACTTTTTTTGAGAGTCGAGAACACTCAGATCTCAACCATTGCAATATCATAGAGAGAATATTTTATATTCTTCTGCCAATAATTCAGCGTTTCACAAAATGAATCTAACATCAATATAAAGTGTGGATAATCACACCCCAGGAAGGGTCTAACATCAATATGAAGTGTGGATAATCACTCCCCAAGTGAGGTCTAACATTAATGAAAGAAATGGATTATCTTACCCAAGCTATAATCCCATAAATAACAATAATGAGGCCACTAAACAATAGTGTCACCATCTCACCACCAAACTCTGGTCTCACCCAAGATGGTGAGGTTGGAGGCGGTAGACAGGCTGCACGCTGGACAGCGCAGGCTGGTGTCGCAGGCTGGATAACCGCAGGGTCTCGCCCTGCACGCTGAACGCATCACACTATTATTAGTCACTAGTAATAAATATGTTAATACAATTCTAAATATATCCTTAGTCCAACAGACTTGCAATGAAACTATACTAGAACGATTGGTTTGCTCTTTAAGAAAGCTATTGGTCATTTACAAGTCCGGCCACAACCATAACAGTTAATCAAAAGTTAATCTTCAAGACACACGTCAATATTTTATACTATTTAATCAAACCTGACAAAAAAAAAAAAATTATTGACAGTCGAGGCTGGAATAGTCACATCAAAGAGTACATAGTACAGCACCTGTGCAGCAGGCTGGTAGCACAGCACCTGTGCAGCAGGCTGGTAGCATAGCACCTGTGCAGCAGGCTGGTAGCACAGCACCTGTGCAGCAGGCTGGTAGTACAGCACCTGTGCAGCAGGCTGGTAGTACAGCACCTGTGCAGCAGGCTGGTAGTACAGCACCTGTGCAGCAGGCTGGTAGCACAGCACCTGTGCAGCAGGCTGGTAGTACA